TTTAGGGTTTTGGGTTTCGGGCTTATAGGGTTTCGGGGTTAGGGTTTAGGTTTATAGGGTTTATTTTCTTGAGCACCTTTTCTACCTAGCAGTTAAGATCGGTAGAATCCACATTGTGGAAGGTTGAGATTGAGAGGGTTTAGGGTTTTGGGTTTCGCGTTTATATGGCTTCGGGCTTATAGCGTTTCGCGTTTCGGGTTTATAGGGTTTCGGGTTGAGGGTTGAGGGTTTCGGGATGAGGGCTCAGGTTCTATGGAGTTTCGTAGCTTCGGAAGTTGTTGCTGTTGGGAGCTTGGGGTTTAGGGTTGTGAGTCTCGTCTCGGGACCTTACAGGCTTTATAGTTGCCTTGACAGTAAAGCTCCAAAGCCCGTATCTGCTGCACGTCTTATTCTACTCCAACACAACATGGATTTAGGCTTCAGGATTCAGGGTCTTTAGGGGTTCATGTCGGTTCGCGCAGGGTAATGTAGAAACCTGATTGACTACCAGCTAACACACCTCCTATCCCGAATACGGACAGTAATAGGGATTGACAAAGTTTGTAGTTAACCTGGGGGTTTATTGATCAGGGGCCTACATTGCCGAACCGATCCGTACCTCAACCAAACAGAACCTACCCTTTTGCAGTGTCACTGTCTTATTTATGCATTAGGGCTGTAGTCGGCTTTCAGTAGGAGCCTACAAACAAGATAGGCTATGGTAAGTTAGTCTGTGCTTCGAAGGACCTTATAGTCAGTGCCCCAGGCCCTAGACCCCTTGAGGGACTGCCCGAGGGACCAGCAGCCAAGTGAATTGTTCCATCGCGTGTCTGCTTGGCGGCCTCCGAACCAAGAGGTAGTGGCCCAAAACCTGCCCAAACCCTTCACCACCCTCCCCCCACCAAAAAAGAAACTTAACTCGAAAACTAAGTGGGTGGTTGTCAAAATTATGGTCCCTTTTTGGGTCCTCATTATAATACGGCACCTATTAATTTAAGGCACCCCAAAAGGGACCATAATTTTGACAACTACCCAAGTGTTGAGTTCAGCAGCCTTAAATAGTGTTCGTAGCTCCTCAGCTCCTTGGAGCTGTTGCAATTATCCGAACCGGTACCTGGAAAATAGCAGGGGTCCAACGCCGCGTGGCGGCGAGCCGGGTCCAGGTGGCAAAGTACGGCACTCAGAACCTCGAATTCTTTTTCTAGGGTGCCACGTATAAGGGTTTTGTATAAGGGTTTCTAGAAGCCTGAAAAATCAAAGATACCGGTGTGTGCTTACGGTACAGCTGGAAGATGAAAACAGTAAAAGAAGGAAGCTCAGGAATCGGAATTGGGACTTAGGCTCCGGCTTCAGTTGGTTCAGGGAGGGTTCAGGTTTTGGGTAGTTTTTTTGTTTTCGGGTTCAGGGTTCCCGCCACGCGCCTACAGCTACATCTCACAGGCAGCAACGAGGGGCCGCCCCGCTTTGCGACCCTAAACCCTAAAACCCTAAAACCCTAAACCCTAAACCCTTCAGCCTTCTCGGCTGAAGGGCAACTGGACTCAAGCTCCGGGGATACCCTAAGCCTCAAAAGCCCCGAAGGCCTAAACCCCACAACTCTGAACCCTAAACCCTAAGGCTCTCAAACCCTAAATCCTAAACTCTACATATATATATATATATACATATGTATATTATATATATATATATATATATATACATATAGTACTATATCTATTATATGAAAATCCCAAAGCCCAAAACCCTGAAGCCCTCAGCGCGGAGCCCCGAAGCTCCAACTTAGGTGGCTGTGCCTGGGTTCGAGGGGACTCACACAGACAACTTGGCCCTGGAAAGAGGGGCCGACATGCTAAAGCCGTAGACTCTTTAGGATTTAAGGGTTTCGGGGTTACAGGGTTTCGGGTTTAGGGGTTTAGGGTTTAGTGATTTCGGGTTTAGGGGTTTAGGTTTAGGGGATTAGGGGTTTAGGGGTTTAGGGTTTAGGGGATTAGGGGTTCAGGGGTTTAGGGTCTGGTCTGAGGCTAGGCAGTTTAAGCGTTTGGAGCTGCCAACCAGGACGGTGAGTTGATGCGATTGCGGTTCAGGGCCTCAGGTTGTCCTGTGATGCTTTGATCCTGCCAAACCACCCCATGTAGTCCTGATACTATACGGGCCTTAAAAACATAGAACAGGGTATATTACACTATACACATATATGGGGACTATGCGGGAATAGTATCACCAATGAGTCCGACCCCTAGATGATCCGAAGGGAACCGGAATCAAAATAGACTGTTTTCTCAAGCTTTACAGGGGCTTTGGCAGGGTTACCAGGCCTTATCAGGGACATATACGGCACCATGCTCAAATCTTGAAGCACGCCCTGAACGGCCAAACACTTTGCAGCTGCTTTGGTACAGATTGCCCTAAACCCTAAAACCCTAAACACTGAAGCCTAAACCCTGCTTTTTCACAGATTGCAGGGCGATTGGGACATCTGGGCGGCGACGGTGCTTTTTTGCAGCCACGGCCCCGATTTCCGCGTCTCGGGTTTGGGAGTGTAGGCTCGATGATGTGGCTTAGGGCTTCGGGTTAGGAGACCCTACTATACGTCCTAAGTCGTAGGATCCTCGTTGGAAGAATCCCAGAATCAGAAACGCCGAGAGTGCCTAAACTCAAGAACCCCCAAGTAGCAAGGTATCTCTGCCGGCTTCGAGCTGCAACACCGACTACAGTACTCAATATATAAATGCTGCAGTCGTGATGTGCGGATCAGGCTGCGGATGTCCAGCTCAGCCAAAATCACAAGGGATGAAGGGCTGAACCATTGGATTCCTTTCTAATACAGGGGCCTTAATAATCAGAATAGGGTTTTTGGGGCCCATCATATTATATAACTATACGTATAATCAGGAACCCAAAAATAGTATTGGTA